GTTTCGTAAAAACGTTGTTTTGATTCAAAAACCGAATTGAATACGAAAACAATTACGGGGGTCAGCCCTATGGGATTGTTTAAAAACGCCTTTTGTTTACTGTCAACTTTAATGGTATGCCGCGGACGTCAATAGTCTTATAATGTTATCTTAACGCAGCAGTAGCATTCAAAGGTCTATAGTCACAGCGTTCTTGAGAATGCATTGTGTACGTAATGATCCTGTTTTGTGAGCCGAAAAAGAACACCTGTACGCATCATTTGATTTCATTTAAATATAATACTAATATTTACATAACTAATACCTCATTTAACCAAGCTGACTAAGCTTAAAGTACTTGTGTTAAGAGCGGTTCAGTACGGTAGTCGAATGGCAGATTCGAACCCATGACATTCTGAGTTTGCGGCTATTGTCGTTTCTTCCAATCAATTACCAAAGATATAGATAGCACTTTAGGAAATCAAATTGTGATATAAATACATTGCATGAACTTTTAATAATCTAGTTTAGACATTGAGTTATATGCATTACGTACTAGAGAAGCTATTCCAAACAAAAAATGTGCACTACTCTGTGTCCGCACATGCGCGGGAAACAGTAGAGTCGCGCATGCGCAGTTGATATAAACGCGCGAAAATAGTCATAATAAATAATTGGGTGCGTTTGGTAGAAAAAAGCGCTAGCAAGCGCTTGTAAGCAAAATGGCGATCGTAAGCGGTAAGCGCTGTCAAATCGTAAGTAGCTATTTTCCTCCAGGACACGATGTTAGTTTTAACCGGGGAACCTAACCTAATTTAAATATATGTTTGTAAAGTATTCATATTAAAAACTTATCAATCATGAATTTTTAATAACATGTATATGTCTATTCATGTCATTATATTACTTAAAACTAATTTTACACAAAACAACTTTAAACTCTACTTCAAAATAAACAAATTAAATAAGCAAAATGGCGGATTGTGTCAGCGCTACTGAAGTAGTAATCGTGTCCTGGCCGAAAACTATTTTAGCGCCTGTAAGCGCTTGCTAGCGCTTTTTTCTGCCAAACGCATGGAGAAAAAAGCGCTAGCAAGCGCTTGTAAGCAAAATGGCGATCGTAAGCGGTAAGCGCTGTCAAATCGTAAGTAGCTATTTTCCTCCAGGACACGATGTTAGTTTTAACCGGGGAACCTAACCTAATTTAAATATATGTTTGTAAAGTATTCATATTAAAAACTTATCAATCATGAATTTTTAATAACATGTATATGTCTATTCATGTCATTATATTACTTAAAACTAATTTTACACAAAACAACTTTAAACTCTACTTCAAAATAAACAAATTAAATGAGCAAAATGGCTGATTGTGTCAGCGCTACTAAAGTAGTAATCGTGTCCTGGCCGAAAACTATTTTAGCGCTTGTAAGCGCTTGCTAGCGCTTTTTTCTGCCAAACGCACCCATTGTTTGTTAGTAGTATTGTTAATCGAGTACATTTTTTTAAATTTTCGTTTATTTTGCATATGTGCTAATTTAATATAAAATTATTATTAGCGCCGCTCCGCACTGCATGAATAAGAAGCCACAATAACAGGTGTACAGATTGCAGTACAGTTCAGTTGAACATAGTGAGTGTTCGAATGTCATATCTAGTGCGTAGTTAATAATATATTATATCGATGAGTGTATACGGATTTTACGGAACCTGACGTTTCGAGGATAGAAAAGTTTAAAGATGAAATAGTCAAGCAGTGTCTGGTATTCAACTTTGCTTGATAATATAAGCAGATATTCTGTTGTATTTTTAAGAACGGATTTTCGGTAGAACTATTCTATACCTTGGAGTCCGTCTTTGTGGGTACCACCCACATACCTATTTCTGCTGTCAAATAGGGTTATGTGCAAACGTCAATTGGCTTAGGGCTGCGTTTTGGTCTAAGTATGTAGAGAACTAGTATAATTACAAGCCGTGAGGTATTCCATCTTTGTCTTCAAAGGTGACAACGCATCTGTAGCCTTACGGTACGTTTACAACAAAACCGAATTTGTCGGCCGATGGCGGACAGAACTCCGCCGCAGATAACTCGGACGTGTGCCGACATTGGACGTTGTCGGTATTCTTTTCTATTTTTATATTTTCAATATCCATAGTCATTTAGGTAGATAACAACAATGACAGAAACGACAAAATAAAGACAAAATGATTAAATTAAATTGTAAATACACTCAATTTGCACTGTAGACGCCGGCAGTCGGGCGGGAAATCCCAACAAGTTCGGATTCGATGCTTGATCGGTCGTTTTCGTGCGTCATCGGACGATGACGGCCGTGTTGGTGTACGCGCCCTCTTTGTTTTATAAATGTTTGATTGGATCGTCCGAGTTCCGCCGTCATCGCCCGAGCAAACTTTGGCCGATGACGGATTAGGTGTATGCGAAGCGTTAGCCTTCTTTCCTTGAACTTTGTTGCAGGTATGTGCAGACTGCCACTTAACATCAGGTGAATTTTAAGCCTGTTTTATTTTACCTGTTTTGAAATTGGAGTGACAAACAATGTCACTCCAATTTCAAAACAGGTAATGTGTTGTTTCCTCGAAACATGACGTGAATTGTGACTGATAAGTATTGCATAACATTAACGATTTTGCTGTAAGGTTAATACTTATGGAGTACGCACGGTGTGAACTCCACAGTTTAAACCATTATAAAAGTAAATACGTCCCATTCCCGGGCACAGCTCTGTTCTCGTTTCTTAGTTTTTCTGGCAATGAAATCCACCACTCTATCCCAAAGTGTTTTGGGCACAATTCATGTCTTCGAAATATAATATATAGATATCATATATGTATTTTAATACTCAGTCATGCAGGGTTTATCACGAAGTTTTATTTCACTGATAAGCACTTGGTAAATCAGCACTTTAAACTGGAATTAACAAATTCATTAGTGCCGGCGGGGGTTGTAAATTAAAAAAAAAAACATTATAAATAGACTTACAACAGATAGTATATTCGGCCGCACACCGAATACCGAATATTCTGCGGACTTCCTGACCGAATAGCCGAATATTAGGCAAAAGTATACGGCCGGAAAGGAAATAGTGTCTATTCTTCAGAGCGCTTATTCTCTGAATCTGGGATTGTCTACGAGAAGAAAAGGAGTAAACTACTGCCTGAAAATGAAGAAAAATTAATCTTTCTGCACCATTATCTTCCACTTTAATTACGATAATTTGAATGCGTGGACATTTATCTGATAGTTCTTTTTTAATTTTTGTAATGTGGAAGTTGATTATGTAACTATGACTACTTTAATGATTACAAGAAAAAATAATAACTATAAAATAAATAAATATTTTCATTTTACCAATTATCTGACTACAGTAAAACCTTTTATAAGTACTCAGTATTCGGCCGATTAGTATCAAGATTTTCGCTATTCTTTTATATTTAGATAAAAGAATAGCCGTAAAAAAGTAAAGTCGTTGCAAGTCTAATAATAGCAATTCTTTAACAATAATAAATATTATTTATAATCTACTTTTTGTAATAATAGTATGTCGCGTGAAAGTACTTTTCAAGTTACTTATTTTTTACTTACGTAAAATTGGCTCGTCAGCATATATTAACTTATATTTTATATAAAATGATGATTTTATATTTATTGTAGATATTAAAATGACATTGAAAAATATACAATAATAAAAAAACTATACAAAAAAAACTAATAACTTAATTATCATATACTCCCTGTGGTTTTGTGCCAAGAAAGCCGACTGCGTTTCCTCGCTGAATGGCTATATACTTAGCCCTTGAGCGAGGAAAAAACCAACCCTCATATCACCAGCAGCGACGACAAGTCTGCACGTGGATCCCACAGACCGATGGTCTCTAAAGGAAATAGCACAAATATGTAGTCATCTCTCAGAGACTCATATTTGCACCACTTAGTTCAGCTGCCTCTGATGCCGCCTCGGCTCTAAACGAGGTACCCCTGAGACGAGACGCCACCAAAGTGTCTACGCAGGTAGTATCCCACATTAGGGCTTTACCTCTCTACCAAGGGACCATTTTCATACTATTGGGTCCATTGCCATCATCTTTAAATATTCCACAAAGCTCTTAAAACGAGGGAACATTTATAGAGAGAAGAGTTCTTCGGATGACATCGTTAGGGAACCGTGCCGTGAAAACCTACCAGTACTTTTCTTATATGAAAGTCCGTAGAGCCCAAACACGTCGACGCTGCGAACACAGGGGCATATAATATGATTTTATTGAAAAGAAAGAAGAAAGAATCGAAGGACCGCCTTTTCATTTTTTGAGAAATTTAATCATAGTTTTCGTAGGTTCAACGTTTATTTCACGACGAGCAATTGAAAATACATAATTCTTTATATCTACACTACTTACATATTATTAATATAATTTTCTTTTAGCTACTAAAATATATTATCGTAATTTATATCCGCATTATATTTACAATTTAACGTCTACATTTATTATTATCAGCGCCATCTACAATATCTGAAGGAATCGTTTGCTACTTTTTAACATTCAACTGTATGTCTTTTGGAAATGTTACTGGACGCTTATAGAGGGCGTTAGTAGTTTGATACTTTTGAAGCGGATTTGCAGATACATATTTGAAACAGGAAGAATTTTATGTTTATAATAACTAGTTAAATACTGTGCACTATGCACATCTAGCTAATTAAAATATTTATGAGATCTGTTAAATTCTATAATTTACATAAAACATCTTACTTATCATAGCATTTAAACATCTCAATTTAGATAAAGGAGAACATCTTTATATATTAAAATTTCTTTACGGCAGGAAACTTATTAAAATCTTTCAAGGATATTTCAACAATAAAGCTTTCATTAACTTGAGCGTAGATTTGATCTGGCAGGTACCTAAATGCGAAATTGGTACCTACATAAACTAACAACTTTAAATTCTAGAAGCGTTTGCGTTTCCCTCTGAACGTCTATTTAATGTTTCTTAAAATACACTACACTACATCGGCGGGCTGATTGGACGGCCTGTGCACAGGGGTTGGGCCGTCAGGCGCGTAGGAAGGGTTCGTATCTCCCCTGTCCGAGTCTACGTAGCCTGCATTCTCAATGATACGGCATCTAGCTGTGTCTGGTTCCCTTTCTACACAGAGTAGTCTGGCCGGCCGGCCTCCGAGGCTGGACAGCGCAGCTGGTGCGCTGGATCGCGTTATGGAACCTTCTCGAAGTGCTACCGATCCTCTCTTCCTCTCTGGAGCGGGTGAACCTCTGTATTCCGACGAGTCTGGACGCTTGCATCGAAGTAACTTGGAGAAAGCCGCTCTAAAGCCTGCGTTTTTCCACGCGTATATGAGCGGGTTCGCACCTGAGTTAGACATGGCGAGCGATGAAGTTAGCCGGTACACTATCGGATTGTGCAGTGGAATAATCGGCAACGTTTGAGCGCATGCCACGACCACAAACGGCATCCAGCATATGGAAAAGGAACCGAGAACTAGAAGCACCACCTGTAATTTATATTATAATTTTATTAATACCTTATTATTATCATTCAAAAAAGTTTTAACTTGACTGTCTGGTTCAACCATAAATTGTTGAAATATTTAAGAAGAATGCACCTATTTAAATTATAATTTTCAACATTTAATGTAATATAAATTTCATTTCGTATCAGTTCAACTCTTTATGCTGTACACATAAAATATATTTCTTGTACTGTTCCCAAAAAAATAATGAAAAAGATAAAATTATTCATAGTTTTGAAATTATTTGTAACACAAATTAACACAAAATTTGTGTTACAAATAATTTCAAAACTATTTTGATTGCTTAACTATTCTTCCATTTTATTATACGAATCATGTGAATGCGTACGTCTTATTCGCATAGAAATAACCGGCAACTGAAATCTTGATATTCCAAAGTAAAAAAAAAACAGCGGTTAATCAACTCAATCGCCACGCATCTACATATGGCAAATATCCTATGAGGCAAACCATCGCTTATGTTCAGTAGTGGGTTTTGATAGGTTGTGATGAACATATGCCATTTAGCTTCTAGATTCCCTGAGGGTATACTTGCTTTAGATACTACGCTTGACAGGCGAGTGGTAACCCTACTTTAGTATTATTATTGAGGAGTTATCAGAAAGATGCCCCTGTTATTTTTTTTCGTTCTGTCGCGTCTAACAATGCTAACGGGATGATAATTTTTTGTGTTAGAGCCGCGATGCAGCTATATTATGGTTGTAGCACGAATGTGTCGGCTCGATTGGGAAAAGAATACGCTCTCAAAGAACACCGGCGTAAAATAGCTGCTAAAGCTGCTGTTTCGTATGCTGAGCGTAGAGAACGAAGACCCTTTTCACTGGCAACGAGACATCCCATCTTAATCCTCGTGGGTGACAGCGCGTCTGCATTTTGATTTTTAATTGAGTTGTAGATGTTTATGAGCCACAGCATCCACTTACCATCTGGTGATTGTGTGCTCGTTTGTCACCGTTATTTTAATAAAAAAAGATGGGACAGTGAATTCTCTTATACGGCGACGATTTCACTTCAATAGCACTCACTTGAATGCTCTTCCAATCGTTGGCGCCCGAGGGGCAGCAGGTGTTGGCGCGCAGGCGGCGCGCGTGGCACGTAGCCTCCCGCCATATTCTCCAGTACAGTATGAACATCACCATCCATACCAACGAGAACATCGGCGCCAGGATGCTCGTCGTGTACGACTTCGGAACCACCTGGAAACAAATTAGAATAATATTAGGGTAACCAGTAAACAATAGTTTTTAAAGATCAAATTATTTAGGCAATTTTTGGGATAATTATAGAATGAATGAATGAATGAATGTATTAATATGAATATAAAATATGCTGACGCTAATTCTATGATTTGCCACAGAAGTAGCACAAAAAGGTTAATCGGTGTGCCGTGTTATCAAAGTGATACGTATTTGTAAAAATTCTGAAGTTCATGTAGACTATTGGGGGCTAAGCAGCTCTAATAACAATAACTTTTATTTAAAAACCGTATTTGTGCGAACACTAACAGAAATTTTTAAAATTCACTTTGTTCATCTGGTTCTTGGATTTTCGTAACACGATTTACAAGCAATCGTTTATATCCTCAATTATTTTTCCCCGCTTCGGCTAACACTATAAATTTTAGTAGGTTGTTAATTATTTGAATTACTTATTGTGATTTCGTGTAAACAGTCGTACTTTTAATATTGTATTGGTTTAAATAACAAAAAAAAAAAACAAAAGTCAGTTATTTTGTAGCGATCCAGTAGTCAGAATTGATTGAATCATTTATCAGTCCGTATCGCTAGTAAATGAGCATCATCACGTTTGTTTAGTGATTTGCTGATAACAGCCCAGATAACGTGCGAACGGTCCATGTTAACCTGTGTATACAAAAAAATATCTAAATCTATAGTATCTAATAAAAATATTAATTTAAAACTCTAATGAGAACATGATGGGCAGACCTCCAGACCGAATTTCGGTCACGACGGCCAGCCTCAACGGAGACTAGCCATGGGCAGAGGACAGGATTATATAGCCTAAGTGTATGCGCACGCACAGGTGCACTTTCTATTCCTTCACTCTCATGGTCCGATGGGACGGTAAAACAACCCGGAGAGAGATCAGGCGATGAGGCACGAGGGTGAGAAACCGCCAACTTTCTGACTCTGGGCAGCTACTAAGAATTTCTTACTGCACAAAACTCAATAACTGATATTTTTTAGCCCGAGCCGGGATTCTAACCCGGGACCTCGTGATCAGCAGTCGCACTACTACAACCACGAGACCAACGAGGCAGGCAATGGAAAGACCACACATGACATGACCGCCGTAAATTTATTTAAACCAACTGAAATCAGAATATTTTTCGTTGAAAAATATAGAAAAATTAAAGGATTAATTGCAAAGAAACACGGAAGGCGTATCTGTCTACAAAACCCTAGGTGAATTAAAAAGAGAGTACTGGTGGTAGGTTGTGACAGTGAGCGTATGTGTTAGGTAGCTTGTAGGTGGTTGGTGACACTGGCTTTATTGTTAGGGGTAGTTTACATGTTATTTATTTAACTGTATTGTCCACCCAACGGGGTTAATTATTTTATACAGAAGAGTGGTTTAAACTGAGGCTCAGTCCTCGAATCATTATCAACACAACCTGCATGTACGCTAATACTATACAGAGGTGAAGTTGTTCCTAAGTTTTTTAAGGTCTCATCTGGAAATTCTTATCCGATTCCGATAATATATTTACAGATAAAAAGCTACACAGGTGATGCTTTATTGTGATCAAAATTATTTTAAGTATGAAAGCAATATTTTTACAAAATTTATCAAAAAATAAATCGATAGATATTATTTATGAACACAACGCATTGTAAAGTAACTTTTTAGTTTCATAATATACAAATAAAATATTGGCTTAGAATATAAATATAGCGAGTAGTTTTTTTTTAGTTAATAAGTTTCGTTCGCAATATTTTGGAGGCATTTGAAATATCTTTGGTTTTACTTTTACCCGAATTTCATGTGAGCGTAGCCGCGTAGATCACTTAATAGTCTTTTTTTATAGAATAAGGGTGACAAACGAGCACACAGTCCACCTGATGGTAATTGGATGCTGTGGCTCTTGGACATTCATCCTCGATTAAGAATCAAAACGCAGATGCGTTGTCACCCCTGAGGACTAAGATGAAATGTCTAGTTTCTAGCAAAAAAGGTCTCCGGATATCTACACTCATCATACGAAACACAGCGGTATTTGGCTGCTATTTTATGCTGGTATCCTGTGAGAGCGTGGTCCTCCGGTCGAGCCGACCCATTCGAGCTAGAACCATAGTATAGCTGCAGCGTGGCTCAACCATATGTTATTTTTACAAATAGTATAATGAAAATCTAAGGAAAATGTTGTACATACCAGATTCATTTCACAAGCGATTCCTTCGCGCCAGTCATTCCAGAACATAGGTATACAGCTTATGCACATGGCTACGGACCAGGTGGTGCTCATCAGCAGTCGAGTAATCAGCTTGGTCATGTACCGGCTGTAGTGTAGCGGATGGACTATTGCTATGTATCTGCAAATTAATTATTTCAATTTAATGTTATACACACTAGGTGGTAGGATTCCATTTTTATCTAGGAGTCTGTCTGGGTGCCATCCTCATACTTATTTTTGCCGCTAATCAGAAGAATCTGAATGTTATAGAGATCCAATATAGTTACAGGCTCTGAGGCATTCCAACTTAGTCATCAGTGGTGACAACGAATCTTTTTTGAAGTTGGTTGCACTTACCATCAGGTGCACTTTAAGTTCGTTTGTCACTTCAACTTTATTTAAAAAGAAATTACATAACACATGTGATAAGTAGTGCCCTTATAGTAGAAGTAAATATGTTTAACCACCGACGAAGACAGAGGGGTGTTGTATGTTTCTATCTGTGGTATCGTAACTCCTGAACAGAGGAACCGATTTTCGTTTAGTTTGTTTTGTTTGAAAGGTGTCTTAACCGACAGTGTTCTTAGCTATGTTTCAAAAAAATATCTTCAGCCGTTTGAAGATTTTTTCTTCTTTTTCTTATCTTCACGCACAATCCCTAACGGGGTAGCCAGAGAGAACAGATCGCCAAGTGTCACGATCCTTACATACCTCTTTCGCTTCTTTCAGGTTCATTAACTTCTTCATACATGCACGTCTAGGTATCCGAGTACTCTTGACCCTCCCCTCTTCGAGCAATTTGCTTACATGGTCTTCGAAAGTTAGTCTCGGTCTACCTCGACACCTTTTAATATTTACTTTCGCTCTATATATTTTCTTCACCATTCGGTCTTCACTCATTCGTTCAACGTGCCCAAACCATTGGAGTACGCCCCTATCAATTTTTGTGATAAGGTCATCTTTCAATCCTGCCATATTGCGAATCTCTTCGTTTCGCTTTCGGTCGGCTAAGGTACCGCCCCACACATTTTACGAAGAGATCGCATCTCCACTGCATTCAACTTGCTTTTATGCTTCTTCTGGCATACCCAGGTTTCGCTGCCATATAACAAAGTCGGTACCAACACTGCATTATGTATTGCAAGTCGTGCACTCTTCACCACGCCTTGCCTTTTTACTTATGCATTCAGGGCACCATTGACTTTGTTTGTTGTTGCCGTTTGAAGATGACCAGCTTTTTTGTTTCGGGGTTCTTAAATATTTTAATTTAAGTTATTTTTATTATTTATTACACTTTGTTAATTTAGACTGATTATTTTTGGTGGTATGTTCCGCCAGTTGACTGTCGCCAAAACCTCGTTCATCAATCAACAGAGTGCATAGCAACATGCTGCAGTTGAGGTTGAACCTTGGAAAAGTTGCCATATTTCCCTTTGTTCTAATTTTATATAAGAAAAATTTATAATCTAAGAGTCGTTTTACTTGCTTCTTCTTAATTAGTTTGTAAATATCCATTACTGCTCATAGGTCTCTCCGGTTGGAGACATGATTTGCCTTAGTCGTCAAGCTAGGCTGGTGGATTGATAACCGCAGCACCAGACGTGAAAACTAGATGTCTCGCGTCGTTGATCTTATTTTACGCTTGGCGAAAAAGGGATGGATATACCGCCATCAAACGCAAGCCATGAGATTTTTCTAGCACAATGGAGTGATAGATTCTCCTATGCCGCCACCACTCCGCCAATGATTCAGTTTTAAGAAGGGTATTTAAGGGGTTGCCAGTGATGACTTACGGATCTGAGACGTGGTCCTTCACTGCTGGCCGTATGAGGACGCTCAAGGTCGCTCAGCGAGCTATGGAGAGGGCTATGCTCAGAGTTTCTCTGCGTGATAGGCTCAGAAATGAGGATATCCGCAGTAAAACCAGAGTGACCGACATAGCCCAACGGATTAGTAAGCTGAAGTGGCAATGGGCCTGCCATATAGCTCGAAGAACCGATAACCGATGGGGAAGAAAGGTTCTGGAATGGCAGCCTTGTAGGCCGGTAGGCGTAGTGCAGGGCGACCCCCCACTAGATGGAGTGACGACCTGGTAAGACATTCAGGAAATCGATGGATGCAGGTGGCTCAGGACCGTGCTTTGTGGCATTGCTTAGGGGAGGCCTATGTTCAGCAGTGGACTTGTGAAGGGCTGTAATATAAATGATGATGATGAATCAAAACGAGCGACACCATTCATACCATCTAGATGATTGGTGGTCCACCACTGAGCGATTTACTAGAAGTTTTCGTCCTTGTGGAATCGAGTACCACTAGCGATTTTTCTGGATCGATACGACTTAAAGACTTTCAAGAAAAGAGCCTACTCTTTTTAATAGGCCGGTAACGCATCTGCAATTCCTCTGGTGTTGCAGTTGTTCATGTACGGCGTCAATTACTGTCAGGTGAGTCGCATACTCGTTTGCCCCCTATTATATAAAAATAAAATCTGAAAATAAGACTGAGTTTCTTACCTGTCAACCGCGATTGCTATGATGTTGTAAATAGAGGCGAGACACGCGAGTATTATGAGTATGAACCTCATTAGACACGACCATTTGACCTTGCCGAAGTCATCGTCCAGGTAGAAAACGAGGTGGTAGGGTAAAGTGAGGCCCACCATCAGGTCGGATATTGCCAGGTTTAGCACGAACTGGTTAGATACAAGCGACGAGAGCCGGCGGCTGAGGGTGACGGCGAGGATTGTGAGCGTGTTCCCGCTAACGATGAGCAGCATCAGCGCGCCATCGACGATGCTCCACGCCCAAAAGTTGTACAGATCCTGGCGTTCCTGACTCGCCCTCTCCTCGGACGTGTTCCACCCCTCGGTGGTTTCATTACCCAGTACAAAGTCCATACCATCGCTGGCCGCGGTCGCCAGCGTCCCCCACTCTGAATAATTCGACGTCGTGGTCGAATTTTTGGTGCACACCGTCTTAACATTAATCACCACTCGCGTTTTTTCCGCACAAAGAACTAGTCTTTTGTCGCATCCTCTTCACACACATTGCTCTTCTCGTCTCTTACGTTCACTCCGCCTGCAATCAAAGTTGATTACACTAAATACCTTACAAACTTTCGTAGTCATTGAAGACGGATTTGTCTTTGTAAATGCAAGATCCGCTATCTTGCATTAAATAAAACCGCAGCGTTGAGGGTTTCAGTATGCATGGTCGCGTTTTCTATACAAATTATTTGCAGCGACCTCTCACTCAGTTACGCTTTACGCGGCGTAACCCTAAATCACATTAACAACTTTTTTAGGAATACTGTGGAAAAACGCTAGCGCTCTAACGCTCAGTACGGTAATGAATAATTTATTTGTATGTCATATTGGAAGCTCTTCGTCTGATTACTTTATTACATTTTGCTAAAATTTTCGTCTTATTACTGCTAAAGTAAGTATACATACAACATGAAAATCAAATGCAAAAAGGTTTTAATGTTTTATAATAATGATTTCATTTATAGTGATTGTTACTAGCAGTAGTTTTTTTATAGAATAAGGATGGCAAACGAGCAAACAGTCCACCTGATGCTAAGTAGGTCCTGTGGCCACGTAAAGGCTGATTGTCCGATTAGAATAATTTTATAGCAAATACAATGTACTGATTTATAAAGTGTGTCAAATTTCCATCGACTCCCTGTGTTTTAGGTCGCCAGTACATCTAGACGGGGCCACGCAACAGTGCGCTTGCTAATAACGTCTGCTATTCAGGAAACTATTTTCCCAGCGGTTGTTCGAGCTATATAGCTGGACTGATATGTTTGGCTATGTTAACCTTGTTCCATTGCGAATGTCTTTGTTAAGAATTTTTATTACAACAATAACAAACTAACAAAATCTGTTATATAGGCCTATAATGATAAAATATATAATCTTGTATAAATAATTAATTTTCCAAATTTATAACAAAATTTATAGTTATGTATTTGTGCTGCAAACTAGTTACTATTAGATACCTAATAGTGTACACTTGTTTTGGGATACTATCCAGATTTTGCACTCATTATATTCATATAGTTTATGTTTTGTTTACCTAAATTAATAAAGAAAAACATTTTTATCAAGATGGATGAAGTTGACTTAACATCCAGCTTTGTTGCGGTCTGTAGGGCAGGTTTTAGTTTAGTTTATGGACCTGTCTTCACGCTCGGCGGGGGTTTGTCAACCGCAGTTTTTACTGTTAGTTGATATTAAAAAGACGCACATCTCTCTCACCCACGAGACAAAATGGGGTAGTGGATATTCTACTTAGGGATGAATTGATACGCCTTTTGCCGATACGATATCGATACCGACGTAATTGGTTTCGATATCGACGATACCGGTATAGATACCGATTTGCTTGGTGATAAAGGTTTAATTGTTGTTAAAATGGTAAATTAAGGCACAAGCTGAAATAAATATATTTTATTAATTAATACTCAAAATTACAAATTTACAATGGGATTAAAATTTTTAATTTTAATTACTAACACTATTAACCGTAATGATTAATTTTTATAACGATTTTTGTGTTAAAAAAAGTATTCACAAAATTTTCGGTGAAAAGCAATTTCGCAAGTCTATTTGAATAAATCCTGCAGTAGAAAATAGTCTCTCAAATGCCACAGAACTCATTAGGAGTTAAAGTACTTTTTACTTCGAACAGCGCCATTTTTTTTGTCAAGAACATCATGGCGCCATAAAACGAACATATTTACTTTTCTTGATATGTTAGAAAATCTTGAATTTGAAAAGTATTTTTGTATCAGCAATAAAAATATCTACAAACCCAAAAAAATTGCCGATATAACATCGTCCCTACATTGTACACGAACTTGTGATTGATTGTAATGATGAATATGTTTAGTAATATTGGAACCTGTATGCTAAAGTTTATTGAAGTTCAGTTATGTAAGTGGCTCCGACCTAGCGGCCTTGACGTTGGTTCAGGTTTTATCGATCAGACACAGCTGATGTTTTAGGAAGGCGTTACATTACGGGCGGACTACGTTGCGACGATTTTGCAATTACCACGTTAACATTACTTTGAAGTTAACATCATACGTGGTAGAACTACGCTACAGCTATATTAAGGTTGTAGCACTAATGGGTCGACACGACCGGGGAAGGATCACGCTCTTACAAAATATTACCGAAAAATGGCAGCTTAATGCTGCCGTATTTCGTCAGATGCATTGTCTCAGCTAAGACTACGCATCTGACGAAACACAGCAGCATTAAGCTGTCATTTTTCACCAATATTTTGTAAGAGCGGGAACCTTCTTTTTTTTTCTACATTTTGATTCTTAATTCGGGATTAATGTAGTTATATATGGGTCACAGCATCCCCTTACCATCAGTTTAAGTGTGCTCGGTTGTCATCCTTATTCTATAAAAAAGAAAATCCAAACTCTAGTTTGTTTTACCGCGGTGGAGCCACACTGCATATACTCGTATATAACGGATGCAGCACGAATGACTTGCCCCAACAACCTGGCTCGACCAGGGAAGAGGACGCGCGTTATGCTAGTATATGCGTAAATTAGCGGCTTTATACTCCCGTATATCGTATATTGAGTATAGAACTTCAGTCCTTTTTTTAACTGGTAACGAGGCACTCTATCTTTGTCCTTAGTGATGACAACGCGTCTACATTTAAATTTTCTTTTGACGATAGATTGTTGGTGTCTATCGGTCACAGAATTCAGAATTCTCAGAATACAGAATTCTCTCACCACCAGGTAGCCTGTGGGCGTTTTTCACCATAATTCTATAAGAAAATGTTGCATAAAACGTCTTGCACTATTAGACAAAATAATAATGTCCTCCAGACCGAATTTCGGCCACGGCGGCCAGCCTCAACGGAGACTAACCATCTGCGCAGTACAATATTTCACTCTCTATTAGACTCTATTCTCTCACTCTCATAATCTGATGGGACGGTAAACCTACACGACCGGAGAAAGATCAGGCGCAGGACCAACGGCTTTACATGCTTTCCGAGGCGCTGGGGTGAGGCACCGCCAACTTCCTGACTTCGGGCAGTTACCGAGAATTAGAGCTACGGATAACAGTAATTGATTTTTGGCCCGACTCGGGACTCGAACCCAGGACTTCATGATCAGCAGTCACACTACTACAATCACTAGTCCAACGAGGCAGTCATTAGTGAAAATATATAGTAATGGTTAACACAACAATGATCTAATTCATAAAAATCCCTAAAGTATACAAACCCTATGTTTGTAACTTTCCGTTAATTATAACGCTGTTTAGTAAAGTGGACAACTATGAAATAAAGCCGCACATGTGTTTTTCAAGAAGTTTATTTAGCTACTTATAAGCTATAACTATTACTAATCTCCACTAATAGATATGCTGAAGTATATTTGTTGGTTTGTCCCTCCCCTCTTTCATGCAGCAACGAGGCGACGGATCAATATGATTTTTCGCAAAGAGGTAGTTTATGGGCCGTGTAGTACATTTATCCCGGAAAAAACACAGTTCCTGTGGGATAGATCTGTCTTAGGTCTTGGAATAACACATTGGCTGTCATTTTTTGGAATGATGTCATTAATGGACGTCCACGCGTGCAAACCCGCGAGCTAGTATACTATAAATAAAAAGCAGATGTTTGAACGTACTGTACTCAATGGATTTGTTATTATGATTTGGATACAATTGGCACACATCGGCTCAGGATTAAGGATACTTTATACCAAGTAGTAATAAAATTAGTGAGCAGAAGTTAGTTATTACAAAAGGCAGTAGTTATAAATATTTAAGTAAAATTACAAATTTTCCTATGTAACTAAACGGGATTTAGCAAAGAGCAGGTATTAGAAATGTCTGTCTAAGGATTGTTATATTATTATTATAGGCTTTGTGTGTAAGATCGTATGTATCTATGGAAATTTTCAAGAGTTGTGCATCAAATTGCTTTTGTTCAAAAATCCATAAATTTTCAGCATTTACATTCACGTTCATGTTCCTACAATACAGTAATATTTAACAAAACGTATTTTAAATAACTTTAACAAAACTAATAGAAAATAATATATATATATATATATATATACATATATATATATATATATATATATATATATATATATATATAAACCTTCAAGCAACATGAATCGACTACAGAAATAAATATTTTTTTTATTGCCTTGAAATGCCTTACAGCCTGCAATCATACTGGCTCTTTATATCCTTCTCTACCCTTTTGTACTTTACACTGCTATTTGGCAACATAAATAGGTTTTGTAACAGTGAACACACTGTATAAATAATCAAAGCCTTCTTGTGTTTTAAAATGGAGTTGTAATGATAATAGACAGTGTTTTAAGCGTATAAATTACCAAGTTCTGGTTAAAATTACCGCTATCTAAATCAAATTTGCCAAGTCGTCGGTATGATATTAAATTAACTAAAAATATTAACATCGCATTACCCGATTTTATCAGCTTCATAATTTTTATTCGGATAAATAATAGCGTGGGTGTATTAATGTTGAAAATCACTTAAAGTATTTGTAGGTTAATTACATCAGACTTTAATTCTTATTAAACTTAGGTTTTAATGGAACTGATGGCCATAAATTTTATATTTATGATGATGACGACCTCGTACACATCAACATAGAGCAGCAGGTATCCGCGCAAAAGGTATTTAGTCGCCAATCCTGAATTCGATTAAATCGATATCTGTGATATTGAATCCGTGCTTAAAAGTAGTTATAATAACTATATGTAATATGAGGGATCTATAAGAAATGGTAGATGGTGGAGTCCGTCTGGATATATACCAGCCTCTTACCTATTTTTGTCGCCTACCAGCTGTGCTTTCGGTGCTTCGTGATCTGAAGGATATAGAGAGCCAGTTTAATTGCACGCTGTGAGGATTTTATCTCAGACTTGAGGTTTGTTTGTCACTTAGATTTATAAATAATAATAATGTCTGTAGTCCATTTATGTTGCTTCAAGGTTTATATAATATTTATTCTCTTAGTTTTGTTAAAGTCTATTTAAAATACGTTGTGTTAAA